TTTTATTCATTAAAATTTTAAAAATTTAATTATAAAATATAATTGCAAAACGATAAAAAATTTTCGTCATGTAATCAAATGAATCTAAAAAATTTTATTTCACAATAAGTAGGACAAAACCAACAATTCGACATTCAATTTGATATTTATTGTTTAGCCAGTAATTTGATGGTGACTAAAAATGAAAAAAAAAAAAAAAGCATAATTGATTTTGCAAGAACGAAAAGGAAGAGATTTTTTTTTTTTTAATGATCATAATCGTATTCAACAATTGACTTCAACAAACCTCTCCCTCAATTAAAGGATTTTGAAAATGAAGAAGTATTTAATCTTTGCTCTCCTAAATCCTAATTGGGTAAGAAAATGAAAGTGACAGGGAAATCAATTTGCAAGGTTGGTGAAAGCACAAAAAAAAAAAAAAGGTCATTATAGAAGAAAAAAAAAGACTAAAAATAAATGTTGTTTTAATATGGTTAGGTGGGTGTTTTTCAATTAAATTTTTTAGCTTTAGTTTTGTTTTTTCGTTCACAAAATTTGAAATTAAATTTTTATTTAAAAGATTAAATTTTTTGTCATTCGAATCAATAAATATTGATATAATCAAACATATATTTATTACATCAAATGCGATATTTTTAAATTAAATAAAAAACATTAGAGATATTTAAAATTATCAAAATTTTAATTATTAAAATTAAGAAATTTACACTATTGTGACAAAAAAAAAGATATAATAAGGTGAAAAATGTAAATGCATAAGCAGTCAAATAATAATATGTTATGATAAGGCGTTACAACTCCCAAATTCAAGGTACGACAAAGCCATAAATTAATAATGTGAGAAATTTGAGTCAAGAGAAGACATTTTGAGAGGCAAATTGACTTTAAAATTTTTCTCCAAAACAAAGTCATCAGATAACTGTAATGCACCTGCCCCGTACGCGAAGAAGAAGAAGACATTGGAAAGTTTTTCTTCGATTAAATCGTATGAAAAAAATATATTCGGCTATAAAATGACTCCCAAAATTTTTTGGTGATTTGATCAATAAAATAATATTATATTATTTAATAAAATTATACGAGACTCCGATAATGATAATTAATTTGAATTGATAATTCTAAAATAAAAACTTGAATTTCAAAATAAAAATTTTTTACATTATTTTTTTCTCAATATCAAAATTATAGAATTCTTTAAAAAAAATTAAATTTCTTGTGCTATTTGAATCAACAAACATTAATACTATATATTTATTATAATTATTATATATAGATTTTTATGTATAAAATTTATTAGTGAAATTTAAATATTATTTTAAAAAGAAAAATATTAATTGTGTCTCGTGCAAATTAATATGAAAAAATTAAAATGTAAAGTTTTTAAAATAAATATCTTTAATCAATTCTTATAAACGATGTCAGCACTAATTAATATTTTTCATATATATTTATATTAAATTTGAGGCTCTAATTATTGAACCAAAAAAGTCAAATTTTAGGTGAAGGAACGTAATGTTAAAATGGCTTATGTGTCAATAAGATAATATCATTAGATTAGGGGATTCATATATTTGTATTATATATAATATTATTTTTTAATTTAATAAAAATAATATATAAAATGTAAAATTTTAAAATAATTATCTTTAATCAAGACTTATAAACAATGTCAGCAGTAATTAATATTTCTCATATATATATTTATATTAAATTTGAGGCTCTAATTATTGAACCAAAAAAGTCAAAATTTAGGTGAAGGAATGTAATGTTAAAATCGTTTAGGTTTTAACAAGTTGATATAAGATAATTTATGTATTTATATAGAATAAAATATTAAAATTTATATATTTATAATATTTTATATAAAAATTATATGTTATAATTCGTGTTAATATGAAAATATAAAATAAATTTTTTTTATTTTATTAAATTTATATATAATTTTTATTATAATTTTAAACCGTATCACATTTGTAATTTATTTTCGTATCATATTCGTGTTATATTATTATATCATATTTTAAATTATCAAACCTAAACACCATGATTTATATTATTATTATTATTATTTGGAAAGTTCATCACTTATGGATACCTTCACATATATTACAGTGTAATGTTAGGGGCACCTACACTTCACATAGAAAATAAGAGTTTTGATGGAATGTGAACAATGTATATATTTGACATTAAATGAATAAACTCTTGCTTAATCCTTAATTTAACTTAGAGAAAGAATCCACTTGCATAAATAAATGAATTTGAAGCTTTTCCTTCTTTTTTTTTTTTTTCCACCCTTAGCAGTTTCTGTAATGGACCTGTTTGACTAGACATTTATTTGGTCACCATTGACCAACACTTCTGCATCTTCAACGCTAAGCTAGGAAGAAAGTATCACCATTCACTGCTCCTATTTCCAAAAGAAAACCAAAAGTTGTTTTTTTAAGGATATTAGACAGAGAGATGGAGAGATAAAGGGGTAAAAACAGAAACAGAATTGGAAACAGCATAGAAACAAAGACAAAAATTAGATACCTGGAAATCAACAAATGCCACTGAAGCTCCACAGGTGCTCTGTATCTTCAACTTCAGAAACCCCAGGCATCCGCCAGAAACAATGAAGTGACAGAAAATTTCACACCATGAGCTAATTTACATGGCTAAACAATTTCTTTTTACCTTGAACATGCTTGAATCAGTTCTTCTAGATTAACAACTGGTGTTAACAGACTTGATGATTTCTGCAGCTATGCTATATTAGTCCGAGTCTATCCTTTTACCATAAGGATTCTTTCAGGAGCCATATGGGCTGCCAACAAGGAAATGGGGGTGATGATGAATAATGTCAAAAAAATTTGTACCTAAACAGAAAATATTTATATTTCCTTCGTATGATGCTTAATGTCAAACGAAAATTTGACACTGTAACCACAAAAGATGTAGAACACGTTTCCCATGAAATACGAAACAAAAGGGATAAGATACACTGCAACTCAATAAGTATTATTATAAACAAATTCAAGCACAAAAGATAGAAGCATTTTTACCGATTTCATAGCCGTCGGCCTAGCATTGGCATCAGCATTTCCAGAACTTAACAATTTTGAAACAAAATTTGACAATTAAATGAGGTTCCAAAGAATCACAGAAGCAGGAATCTCGAAAGAAAAATACTCTACTTCAACTTTGGGGAACAAGGCATGTCATAACTGCTTCAACTAAGCCCTTGACCTTTCATTTAAAGCAGACTATTACATGCTAATTCATCCAGAGGCAAGCATTTCCAATTAATAAAGATGTTCTCAGGTAGTGCAGATGACCTTTATGCAGGTGTACATCCAATCATGTTGTAAGCAGAGTTACCCATTCCAGATATGTTACCCATTTCGCATGTAAAACATGTGAAATGTGAGCCTTAGAAGAATGTGTCCTCCATGTGAGTAACTAATTCGTTCTCCAAATTAACATCATATGAGCAACAGACAACAAAAATCAACCCAACCATATCAACAAGCAATCTATATGAAGCTCAAAAAATGATGGACACACAAAGAAGTCCAAGTAGAATTCTAGGTGATTGTCTTACAGGAATCAGTGGTAGGCCTCAAAAATGATCTCTTAGCTTTGTTATAGGAGCCAGTCCATTCATCATCTATTTGCCATAATCAAACCAAGTAGACATTACTCAGGTTCAAATTACTTTAAATACAGAAAAGACTATTGCTGAAAACTAAAAACAAAAAACATAACAATCACTAACCTGTTCTTGGGCGCTTTGATCGGGAATTAGATTTTGCAAAATCAATGAACAAAGTTGATCCTTTCCCAAGATCAAACACCATTCCCAGTAAAACAAGGTTCCGAACTCAACCTATGTTCTACAGAAAATCTATTTGGAAAAACAATTTCCAATGACAATTTCATAGTCATAAATAAATTCAATTAATCTAAAACAAATTACTATAGGAATTAAGCTTCAATGAGTTTCTGCTTTGGAATACAATTTCCAAATATAATAGCATAAGAATTCTTACATTAAGAGCCAGTATCGCGGAGATTGCAGACTGTTGGTCGGAGAAAACAGTGAAAGCAAAGGGCTGTAACAACCCCAACCAAACAATCCCAACAATTAAAAAATAAATAATAAAATTCTTCGCATTTATTTAAGAAAATCGTACCAGCGAATTTTGGGAAGTGTTGTGATATGAGGCAAAATAGTTTAAAATAATTTGATAGTAACAGAAGAATGAAACAGAGAGTAAGGGGAGAAGATAGAATTAAAGAAGAAACGTAAGAGAGAATTCTTTGTGGTATTGCTTAACAGTCTGTCTTTGCACAATACCTTAGCCCCTCTTTATGATGGACGACAGCTGCATTCCGAGATTCTCGGACTTACAGTGCTCTCGGCCTCTCCCACTCTTTCTCCGTTTTCCTCACAGTGACTAACAAACCGGAAATAGAACAAGAGTATAAAGGAACGGGATAGGAGGGGAAAGGGGCGGTGGCAGTAGCGGTGGTGAATGTTGGGGGATGTAGGATTGGTGGTGAGGAAGTAGCGCAGCGGACCAGGCGTAGGGGTTTGCAATAGGGGTAGTTAGTAGGGAAAAGACCATAGGATGGAGGGTTGTAAGCAGCCATGTCGTCCACACTCCACAGCCAGCGAAATTTTTTGGTCAAATCAAATAGCAGAGAGACCGATCAGTGTAATTCTCTGGGTTTTACATTGTCTGTTGAGTTGACAGAAGAAAAAATCGCCAATTTTGTCATCATCATAATTTGAATATCTACTCCTAAATAATAACTTCGCCAATTATTCTAATGTCTTTCAATCTTTCATTTTTCTTCTTTGGATCTTAGCCATTGGTTTTTCTTCTCTTTTCTTGGCAAAATTGAAACAATTGGCAATCCAATTCATAACACAAGTAATAAAATTATTATTATTTGTCTTTGTTGTATGGTGCACAATTAGAACAACATAAAATCAGTGTATGGAAAGCAACTTTCACTTGCAAGTTGCAAGTCCACTAAAGCATATATATATAACCATTTATCGAAATCAAATGAGTGCAAATGCTGGTTCATACAGTTTACACAGAAAGGTAACTGATAATTACCAAATACCAAAGCCATTTTCTCTAGCAAAAGAAAAGTCTAGCATCATACATGAGGCAGGCAGGAAGCTGGCATTTTACCAGCAAGTATAGGAAAATCTAGTAGCATCTAGATAAGAGTTGGGTACTGCTTGGCTTGCTGACGAACTCTTCTCTTATATTCATTAGCATCCTGCACAAGGAAACAAGATTATATTCATCAACTGATTATGATTACTTTAATCGAGCACCTTATTAAGGAGGATTCACAGTCCCAACACCAATGACTGAACTTTATTGCCTTTAGCAACCAACTTAAACAGACCAAAATTTTTAATGAACTAAATACATTTAGCCTTGATATCGAGAATGTTTCGATCATCCAGTTTGTTACGGCATTTATTAGTTTATGTTAATTGTACAGTCTAAAAAATCAGCTTAAGAAACATACCTGGATGAAGAGGTGATATCCTTCGGTTTGAGCAGGATCAGCAGGATTTGGAGCATCCAGCAAATCCTGGATTCCCACAAGAATTTGCTTCACAGTTATGGCTGGTCTCCAACCCTAAGTACGACACAAGAATGGCATGAAACCTCGAGGCTAGACAGGTGGAGCCACACTAATCCAAATATGTAAACCAACAATCAAGAGGACGAGAAGATACTTACACTATCCTCATTTAGGATTGAAAGGCAAACAGTACCAGATGGGTAAACATTTGGGTGGAAAAAACCTTGTGGAAATTTACACTTCGGAGGCTTGCTAGGATAATCTTCACTGAAGTGGAGTGTGAGTGGGAAGTAACCACCCTCCCAATCAGTCTGTAACATGGATGATGCAAGGAGTTAAGCCTATCCAAACTTTAAAAGAAACACGGTTAAAATTGATTCAAACATGCAGACTTTCTTTCAATATTCTTTTCTATTTTCTCAATATTGACACAATAGTTTCCAGAGACTTTTTAATGGAATATTTTACTTTCTAAACAATTTTGTTTAAAACAAGCAAGAGGAAACATTTTCATGTCATTAATAAATGCTCTGCATAAAATTGCAAGCATCTAGACTTCACACCTTCAAAATCATCCATGTATTTAAAGGACGAAATGCCACTTGGGAATAGTAATGCCCATAGATAAAATGAATTATTCCAAAATGATATCAAGGGGAATATCATAAAAGATGGAAGGTCTATCATACAAGAAAATTAATATACTCAGATGAATAAGAAGACCAACAACCAAAACAATTTCAGAGGTGTAATATCATTACAAGATCAAAATCAACACCACAAAGCTGTCACTCTTCTAGTAGCATAACAACCACCAATGCTGCAAAGCAAAATTAAAATTTACAGCCCAAATTTGTTAGTTCTCAATCTGCAATATATAAATAGCCAAACAACCTCAAGACTTATAATTCTATAAGAGGCTGTTTGAAGTGCCATGCTACGCGTTGAAATTGCTGGCAGGCAATAAGGTGAGCTACTACATTCCAAATTCTTTCTCATAGTCATATCTTGAACCATACAAGATTTAGACATTCATTCAATTTCCAAGGATAAAACGTTTTTTTGTTATCAATAGGGGATGAAGATTTTGAAGAAAAAAAATAATTATCATAATAATACTGGTCAATAATGCAAATAAATCTACATTAACATGGAATAATAATGATAAATGAGACCCAATTTTAACCAACACCTCACCCCAACTTTAATCAACCTTATCATTGCTCCAAGGCTCCCCTCCAATAAACCATAAAAATGAAGATTAAAAAAAAACTAAGTTGTGATGATATGAACAACAACAACTAATTGATTGTCTCTCCTCCACAGTCCACAGATCTTTGTTTACAACACTATTTACTAAATCAGGTAAAACTCACCATTATAAAATATCTACAAGTATTAACCTACCAATGTGACATAAAAGATTGTTTAAATAAAACAAAAACTTGCTTCCATAAAAGCCTAAAAAAAACCCAGCTTTCACAGAATCATACAGCTTTCCCAGCAATCATCATTTCCCTAAAATTTTCCGACATAATAGAACAGAAATAATCTATACAAATTCAACAGCCAAAACCTCCGAATATCTACAAAGCTTATTTTATAAATTTGAGCTACACATAAGCCATATGCTCCACTCCTATATAAACCCATCATTCAATTTAGTTCAGAATCATCAATATCTTCGCCGGCCCATTTTTTACCCAATTAAATCACATAAAACATAGATTTTAATCAGATCAACTCAGCTCCATCTCTAATCTTAACAACATAACAAAATCCAAGTGACAAATAAATAAAACTGAAAATAACAGACAAGACCACCCAATGAAAAGAATACATTGAACTTAATGGGCAACAATTAAAAAAAATCCAAAGCGGTGAAAAAGAAATTGAAGGAATTATATAGAATCTTAGACTTACCCCTGCTTTACCAGGGATGGTGCAATGCCACACCATCAAATTCACCGTTCCATCCGGCAAAGTCTCTGGCTTCGCAACAAAACCCTAAAATTTACAACAAAAAGAAAACCACACAAATAAATATAGCAATAGCAACATTAAAATTCGAAACCCCAAAAAGAAAAAAATTGTACGGACATGGGGATGATTCTTCCTCCATGCTTTCCGCTCCTCGGCGAGTCGACCACGCGCTATTCCTCCCGACATCTCTCTCCAAAACTCTCACTGAAATGTTCTCTATTTCCCTTTCTTAAATAATTTGATTTTTTAAAAAATTTTACAACAATGATAGTAAAGAAAGACGATGACGATGAGCGGCAAATCGGAAAGTGCGATAGAATTGCGATAGAATTGACTTCTCCTTTTCTTTATTTTTCGTCGTCTAAAATGAAAATATGTACATATATTCTTTTGTTATTCCGGTTGTGCCCTTGATGAAGAAAAAAGGTTGTTTCGTTTCGCAGAGCTGACAAAAGGGTAAACGTACGGTCGATATTTGATCAGGAGGGAGACGGAATAAACAAGATGGGTCCCAATCCTTCGGGCACCGTGTTGTTTTAATATTTTTAGATTTATATAAAATATAAAATAAAATTATTAAATATTTGTCCGTTCAAAAGTCAATCAATTTGCTGTTTCTGTATTCTAGCGTGAAATCCACGCCACTATGCTCCTCACGTCATCCACGATCCTCACCAATCACGTGCCTTATTTTATTGGGCTCCGGTTAGAGCTTGGGTCCACTTTTGGGTCCATTAAAGCCCAATAATGTTTTCAATATTGAGTCCAATTTGGAAATTTGCTTGTATTCTTTATTCTTATCAAAAAATAATAAAAAAAAAGGTTTGTCCTTATTCAGATCTTAAATTTAAAACCTTTTTGCTTTAAGCAAGTCAATATTTGTTGTTGAGATCTACTAATCCAAAGATAAGTTTTCAATTAAGGGGTCTAATTGGATTAAAATATTTTTTGTATTGATTCAAATAATTTTTTTTTATATTAAGCTTAATGATTTCACAAAAATTATTTTTTTACAACCTTTAACGAATTCAAATCCAAAAAATTAAGAGAGAAGGAAATTCTCTTATCACTTGAATATTAATGAAATAAAATTTTTTAAATCAATGATTTTTTTAATACCTATAATAAATAAAATCAAAATGACTAAGACCCATGTCTTTCATTTTTTAAATATATTTGACATATAATATTACGATAGAATAAGATAAAATAATATTACGAATTAAGTTAAATTTAATAATATCATTTTATTTTATATTTGATGTATGTAAAAATTAATATATGATAATTTTATTTATTAATCAAAATTATATTTTTTAAAATGTATATAATTTAAATTATTGATATTATTCTTAAATATATAATAAAATATATAAATTTAATCTTATTGATTAAAAATAATTATCTTTACTTTTAGAAGAATCGATCATCTTATATCCAAAAAATAATTAATTATTTTACAATCTTATTCTTTTCTTCATCTATAAATCAAATATAATATAAAATAATTATTATTTTATTTTATCTATTATTTTATGAATCAAATATGACATTATGATATGATATGTTTTTTTTTTTTTCAAAGGATTAGCCGAGATAATTGAAATTTTGTATTATTGAAAATCTTTTGCTTAAAACGTCATGGCTTCATGACCCTCCGTTGTTAACCTTCCCAATAGCGCAGCAAATGTTTAGGTACCAACCAGATTTGATTAGATTGTTGGGATTTTAACATATATATCTTTTATTCAAACTTAAAAGATTGATCACATGATCTCCAATTTTCACTGTTTTTTTATTGAACTGAGCTTTGCATTAAATCTTATAATATAATAATAAAATTTAATTCAATTAATTTATATAACTATTTTAAATAATGTAGACACCCAATTGGGTCCGGGCCCAGATCAATTGGGCCTGGCCCAAATGGGTAAGGCCCATTTCAATCCTGTATTTTTTTTTCTTTTTTCTCTTTTGTATTTTATGTATTTTATTATCATTATTATTATTATTATGTATATCTTTGTGTATTTATTTTTATTTAGATTAGATTTATATGTATTGTATGTATATAGTTATATATTTATTATTATTATTATATTTATTATTATTATTATCTTTTTTTATATTTTTGGGTTTATCTTATGTTATTTTTTTTTATTATCTGTTAATTTTATCTGATTTTTTTTTCCGAATTATCTGATTTTTTTTTTTACTATCATATCTTTTGATTATCTAGTATTTTATTTATTTATTTTGATTTTAATTCTGGATGGCTAAGATTCAAAGTTGAAGAATCCCACTCTGGAGGGGAATTCAATCAGAAGAGTCCAGTTGGATTCAAAGACTGAATTCCCGTCCAAAGAGGAATTGGGATTGATCAGGAACTCCTGATCAATCCCTATAAAAGGGACTCTGGAACAGAATGCAAAACACAGAAAACAGTGAAAAAGCTACTGATTTGAGAGTAAAGGAGGCGTATAGGAGGCTAAAAAGGGTTTAGGAGTGTTCTGGGAGCTAAAAGAAATTTTTTGAAGATTTTTCGATTTTTTTTTTCTGGGAATTTCTGGAAATTCCAGTTTCCGATTGAATTTTCCGGCGAAACTTGAATTTTCCGGCCAAATCTCCGGCCAACCTTGAAGTTTCCGGCGACCTGCCCAGTTTCCGGCGAAGAATCCCAGAAACCGGCGACTAATCCCAGAAACCGGCGAAATTCCGGCTAAATTTCCAGATTCCGGCGAATTTTTCCAGAATCCGGCACCGGTGTTCTTCATTTTCTAGAGAGAAGGGAGAGAAAAAGGGAAGAAGAGAGAGAGAGGGGGGAGCGTTCTGCCGAAAAACGGAGGAAGGTGCCTTTTATACCCTCCCAAAACGACGTCGTTTTGGCCTTAAGTAACCCAGAGGATCCGCGCGTTTTGCCGTAACCCGACCCGACCCGAGCGTCGACCCGATTCTGACCCGCGCGTGCCAGCCCCCCTCCGAGCCGAGCCGAGCCGATCCAAGCCGCCAAGCCGCTCCCCCGAGCCGTTTTTCTTCCTTGAGCCGAGCCGCGCCGATAGCCGAGCCGCTCCAGGTTTTTTTTTTTTTTTTTTGAATTTTTTTTGTTTATTTATTATTTTTATTTATTATATTAGGTTTATTTAATATTCTTTTTATCTTTATTTTATTTTTAGTTTTGTTTTACTTTTTTTTTTTTTTTTTTTATTTTTCTATTTTTCTTTAAATAAAAAAAAATCAAAAGTTCCAAAAAAAAATATTTTTAGGGAAAAGTTGAAAGTATCAATTTTCCTTAGAAATAAATTTCCAAAAAATACTTTTGGAGAAAAGTTGAAAGTATCAATTTTTCTCAGAAATAAATTTCAAAAAAAATATTTTTAGGGAAAAGTTGAAAGTATCAATTTTCCTTAGAAATAAATTTCCAAAAAATATTTTTGGGGAAAAGTTGAAAGTATCAATTTTCCTCAAAAATAAATTTCAAAAAAAATATTTTTAGGGAAAAGTTGAAAGTATCAATTTTCCCTAAAAAAAAAAAAAAAATCATTCTTTCCTTCCTTTCTATCTTAATTTTGATTTTGTTTTTTTAAATAATCCGACGACGGAGCCTCTGTAAGTGAAACAGTAGTTTTTCTTGCATACTCTTGAGGTGAGGAAATTTTCTCAATTTTCTGCTAAAAGTATTAGAGTTAATTGAGAAAAGTTTCCAATAATTAATTACTTGGTAAAATTTTAAGGCTTTTGGATAACACAAATTCAAGCTGGTACCATCTTTTGATGGGCGTTGTGAGGGTGCTATAACCTTCCTCACACGTAACCGAACTCCCGAACCTTGTTCTGGTTAGCAGACCTGAACCTATTCTTCTAGGGACCCTTAAACTTAGGTGTTCCCTAAAATGACAGATTCCTTAGGTGACCAATCGCACCTAGATAAAAAAGATTGGTGACGACTCCCTAAAAGTCAATGTCTAGCGATAGATCCCCGGATCTAGACGTTATGACAAATAAAATTAAATAAATCTAAAATTTAAATCTCATCATCTATAATATTCTTTTTATCTTCGTTTTATTTGTATAAAAAATTGATTTAAACTATGTGATGTTATCCAATTTCCTTTTTTTTTTCATAATTTTCTACAAAGATAGAACCAGCTAGCTGGTGCGCAACTTTCTTTTCATACTACATCTAAGCAAATTGAAGCAATGATGATTTAGCCACTACGAAAATTAAAATATAGTAAAAAAACTGCAAGTGTCGAGTGTTTTCGAGGCATAAACCATGACGGGGAATTTACTGCCAATGCTGGTGCTGCACATGTTTCTGCTGTCAAATATTCAAAGATCGAGCTGGAAAGATAAAAGCTTGGGTCCTTGTAAAAGTTTAGGAGCCAATGCTGTTAGTCCAAGATAAAAAATATGCTGAATAGCAAAAGGAAGGGAATGTATAGTGAACAATAATGGTGGTTTTAAAAGAGAACCACCAGCCATAATTGTCATCTGGGAAATGGGAACTATTTCTCTTTTTTACAGCCCATTTCACCTTTTTTTTTTTTAAATCTTGTGCTCATTGACTTGGATTTGTTCATTGATTGAGCCAAAATGCAAATCATGGTTTTTGAGATACGATGATGATGACGATGATGAATTTAGTCATTGTCTGATTGGATTGGGAGGATCAACTTGAGATAAGACTTTATAAAGGTCATTGGCACTAGATAAAGCCTGGTTTTTTTTTTTTTGTTTTTTTTTTTAGGATAATCAAACGAGTAGGGATAGAAAAAATGGTTGATTTATGATAAGATCGAAAGGAGGAGCATGTGAAGAAAAAGGCCCATAATTAGGGGGAATAACCATCGAATTTAAGTTAATATAATATTTAATTTGAGTTTAAACTTAATTTAAAATTTAATATTTAAAATTTGATTTAAATTTAATTGAATTTTAGTTTTTTAATTTAAAATTAATTTGAAATAAAAATTAAATTATTTAAATTTATTTAATTATATTTGATTAATATGTAAAAATAAATTTAATTATTATTTTTGATAAATTTTTAATTATTTGTATCTGAATTTAAACTCAAGTTCGAGATATTTTATTAATTAAAATAATTAAAATATATTAAAATATAAAAATTCAATTAGCTTGATAAATTACTCGAATTTGGTATAAGAAAATTGAACTATACTTAATCAATAAATCGAATTATTTGAGCTCGAGTTTGATTCGATAATAACTTAACCAAATTTGTATTTTATTCACATCGAATTTAAATAATTTGTAAATAATAATATATCATTTACACCCTTACCTAAAATAATAAAAACTAAATAACCAAAAATAAAATTTTAAGGCATGAAGAAAAACAAAGTTGCCTCACCACAACTTTAGTAATTAAGAGTTTCATAGTCTCAATGGACTATGAAAGAAAAACTTACGTAATGTTTGGATAAATATTAGTAAATGAAAAAAAATAAAGTAAAAGAAAGTTTTTTAAAATAAAATAAATGATATAAGTACATTTTATTTGTATAATT